CGTAAGCACACCATTCTAATCCTCTCTTCTTAGAGATTACAATAACAATGCTTAGGTAAGCACAGCGCTATACCTAAGAAGTAAATACGCTAGAGAAAGATTATAAGAACAAAGTCTTATAACTTTACAATTACTCTATAGGGTTTAGGTGCAGCGTAATTAGGCTTATTTAGCTTTTTTAGGATAATTCCTGTTGCTTTCTTCTATTCCTGTGGGTGGTAGCTGTAGTTAAACAAAGTAGAGAAAACATAAAAGAATGTTTCTGTCTGTGCTTTATATGCTGTATTAATAATCTCCTGTGTTAGGGCTTCTGGTCCTGGAGAGCTACTTTAGATTTGTGCTGAGCAAGCGTATTCTAGCTCTTCTTTAGTAAGATTAGGCCATTCCCAGTCGCTTGGTTGGTAGTTGTCCCACTCTATAGGCCTAGAGGCAGGAGGGCTGGGGAAGAGAGTTTCTCTTAGTGCAGAGCATTTGCCTTGAAAAGATTCCTCTATTCCCCTTAGGCCTTGGATAGCAGGTATATTCTGGCTATAAGTAGTTCTAGTATAAGCCATAGCTTTAAAGATTGATTTAGGGTCCTCTCTCTCTAGGAATTGGTTCCAATGGTCGCGTTTAGCTATTTTAACAGCCTGTAGATAACGTGGTTTATCACCGAGCCGCCAGGTATCACCGAACCGCCACCCCTCGCCAATTTTGCGACTGTTACGATAATTATTACAATGCCATCACAACGCAACGCGCAATCACCCTATAACAAAGGTACACTATACCTTGCTATCCAAGCTACAAAAGCTACTGTGCCTGACAGTATAAATCACGCGTCTAAGGCCTTTGGTGTTCCCTAATCAACATTAAGAGACTAACGCGCAGGAGGGCTTGCACGACGCGATCGCAAGGCCAATTCAAAGAAGCTAACAAAGGTAGAAGAGGAGGCAATAGTTGACCGTATACTTAAGCTGGACAGGCAAGGAATAGGCGCAACAAAGACTATGGTGCAAGATATAGCTAATGATCTGCTTGCTGCACGTGGTGAAGGACCTGTTGGCAAGCTCTAGGTAAACAGGTTCAACACGCGTACCCAACAAATCAAGCTTCAACGTAGCTAACTGTACAATTGTTAACAAGCCCTGAATAAAGATACACGCGTTATAACGCCCTAGTTTGAGCTGGTTAGGAATACAAAGGAGAAGTACAGAATCCTAGATAGAGATACCTACAACTTTGATAAGACTAGGTTTATAATAGGCATAATTAGGTCTAAGATGGTGTTCACAGGCTTAGAGAAGCGATCTAACCCTAAGAATATCCAGCCTGGCAATCAGGAGTAGGTCACAATCATCATCGGTGTCTGCGCTGCTGGCTGGGCTATCCCACCCTTCATTATCTTCTAAGGCAATGTCCTGATTACAACCTAGTACCCTAATCTGCCTCGCGATTGGGTAATTGCGACTAGCGAGAATAGCTGGACAATAAATAAGCTTAGTCTAGAGTAGTTAAAGCACTTTAACGCGTCTACAAAAGAGCGTACTGTTAGTGCCTACTGTCTACTTATTATTAATAGCCACAAGAGCCACAACTCTGCAGAGTTTAAGGAATACTTCGCAGAACACAAGATTATCACCTTGTGTATGCCCCCACACTCGTCGCACCTGTTGCAGCTGCTTGACGTGGCCTGTTTTGGCCCCTTAAAGAGGGCGTACTTAATTAAGGTTGACGCCTAGTCACAATACTTAAAGACACAAATCAAGAAAGAGTTCTTCCTTACTAGCTTCTAGACAGCCTATTACAAGGCTATTACAAAAGACAATATCCACAGAGGCTTCAGAGGCGCGGGACTAGTTCCTTTTGACCCAGAGCGAGTGCTATTGAAGCTTGATGTGGTCCTTCGCACGCTAACACCACCACCACCAGAGACTACCCCATAGGAATCCAAAACACCAACCAGCGCAAAGGAGGTTGAGTCACAAACGTTGTATATCCGTGAGCGCATGCGATTGCACAGAGATTCGCCCCTGTCTCCTATTATAAAATCACTTAACTTGCTTGCTAGAGGGGTTGCGCGGATAGACCATGCCAACGTGTTGCAGAGAAGGGAAATAGATAGCATGAAGAAGGCTATTAAGGCTCTTACAGCGCAGCGTGGTCGCAAAAGAAAGTATATCTAGACAGAGGAGGCTCTCATGGTTGGTGAGGTACAGGATATGATAGCTGAGAAGGACAGTGGTGGTGGTGAGGCATCTAAACAGTCTGGGAAGAAGGTGCGCAAAGAGAGGCACTGCAGACGTTGCGGCAAGACTAGCCACAATTTGCGCACCTGCACTGCAGAAATATTAGATGCAGATAATAGCGCTGCTTCTAAAGAGTAATTGTAGCAATTGTAAGTATTAGTGTAGTGTTGTGGTTGAGCGTAATAGTTGTGTAATAGTTAGTGACTCTAAAAAAGTTGGTGAGGGGTGGCAGTTCGGTGATACCTGGCGGCTCGGTGATAAACCACGTTAACTGTTTCTAGCTATTAGATATTCTCTTTTCCAGGTGTAGGCACTTGTTAGGCTAAAAGCAAGTTCTCTCTGCAGTTGGCGTTGTTTGCTGAGCATGCTTGTCCTAAGTGCTTTAAGGTCTTGATTCCACCAGGGCTTGCTTTTTGCAGTGGTAGAGCATTGTGGAATTGCTGCCTTAGCTGCTTTAGTTATAGATATAGTAAGCTCTTTCCCCAGTGTTTCTAGCTGCTCTTCTAGGTCCTGGTCTTCTCCTTGGAGAAGTGCTAGAGATCTGCTCGTAGAGTAGTTTAGAGTGCTTGCGTTGCTAAGAGCAGAGCTGTTTGCTATCTCCTTTGCTAGCACTTTGCTAAATAGGTTCCAGTTTGCTTTCTTAGTGTTAAACCTAGGAGCAGGTTTGTTAAGTTGCTGTGTTCTAGGCGTCCTTATTGTGAATAAGATGCCTAGGTGGTCAGAGCCAATTCCACCTAGCGTTTGCCAGTCTTCTATAAGGTTTGCTAGCGGTGTTGTAGCAAAGGTTAGGTCTAGGACACTCTCTCTATTCATGTTAGGCCTAAAGAAAGTGCCTGTACCAGGACTATTTAGTAGCTCTAGGTCTTGTTCTTCTAGCCAAGTAACAAAACTAGCTGCTCTTGGTGTTATAGTAGCTACTATAGGGTCCCACCATGGGTGGTTAATATTGAAGCCGCCAAGCAGGATGGCGGAGGGCAAGATAGAGGTGCTAAGGAGCTTTTTCTCTATTGTGGTAATGCCTTATGTGTCTAGCTGGTTGTAGACATTGTAAATAGAGAAGGTTGTTCTAGAGCTCTTAACTATAATAGCTAGGAAGTCAGGATCAGGACTAGTGTCTGCTAATATAGTGACTTGCGCTTGTATAGTGCGTGCAGAGTAGACTAAAACACGTGGTCTTGTGCTGTAGTCTTGTAATAAAGGAAGGATTTGTGTAAAGGAGGGGTAATTTATAGAGCGTGTGTCTAAGTAATCTAAAGGAGATTGTCTAGCAGGAATAAGCTAAGGCTCTTGTACTAGTACAAGGTCTATTACTAGTTCTACTACAAGTTGTAAGGCACTCTCTATTGCTTGTGCGCTCTTGTTTAGATTTACTTGTAGGATCCTTAAGTTGTCTAGCATTCTAGGTTTGTTTGCGCGTTTAGTGTAGCTTTATAAGCTGCACATTGTGTGCTATCTGCAGTGTGTGCCTCTTTGCAGTTTATGCACATAGGTAGAGTGTGTGCACAGGTCTTGCCTTTAGCATTGCACGTATTACACTTGTGGAGTGCTGTAGGGTGCTCCTTTGCACAGATTTTACAGGTAGTGCTATAGAGGCACCTAGTCTCTGTGTGGCCGTAGCGCTGGCAGTTTTGGCATTGTGTAGAAGGGGGTGTAGCAATAAATCTTTCTGCTTTAATGCTAGCGCCAAGCAGGTATAGTCTGTTTCTAATAGCCTGTTGTGCTTCCCTTTCTGTAGCAAATGCTACACAGACAGAGCCTAGTTGCTGTCTCTGTCTTTTATCTCTAACGTGGTTCACAAGCGAGTCGCTCACCCAAGTGAGTCGTCCACCAAACACCCGCGCCGCGCGTACGCAGCAGTGCAGCGCAGCACTACAATAAATTACAATACTACACATAACATTATAATATTATTCAGAAGCGTTGCTATCATCTACGTCCTTAATTTCTACCTTACAGGTGCAGGAGTTATGCCCAATTTCGCTGCAACAGCCGCAGCGCCTCTCTGCGCGCACCCTCTTTGCAGGCGTCTCACCCTCCTCACAACTACTACCCTCCTTTTTAGCAACTAGGTTAGATACCTTACTAACTGTTAGAGTCTCCTCTACGCGTACATACCGCCTTTTACAGGTCTTGCGCTTTGTAAGCATAGTAACAGCGTCTTATAGGTGGCCTATTTCCTCCTGCACTAACACTATGTTATAAGCTATCTATTAAGCGCCTTTACTTAACTGCTTAACCTGCTTATCTAATAAACTTGCTAGTAACCTATAATAATTTTGCATGCGATTTTGGATCAGCGTTGACTGCGCCTCTATCTCGCGGGCGTTGCGTGGTGTTTGCGCCTCCCAGGCGACAGTGCCTGGTGCAGGTGGCGTTAGCGTACGTAGCTGTACATCAAGCTTCAATAACACAACCTCAGGGTCATGCAGGGCTAGCCTAGCGCCTTAAAACCCTGCGCGAACATTCTCTGGTATAAACGTCCTCTTAAAAGCTACTTTAAAGGCTGGTAGGAAGGTTTCTTTGTTAATATAGTAGATGCAGCTGCGTGCTAAGAGCGAGATCCTGTTGCTGTAGTGGCGCTTCAACAGCAGGTATGGGACAACGTTAAGAGGCTGCAGGAGGTGCGATGAGTGTGGTGGCATGCAGAGAGTGATAATCTTGTTCTCCTTGCAGTAGTCCTGGAATTCTATTGAGCAGTGGCTCTTATGGCCGTTGATAATAAGCAGCCTATATGCCCCAGCAGAGGTCACCTTTATATAGGCGTTAAGGTGCTTAAGCCATGCTATCACAACGTTGTTATTAGTCTAGCTAGTAGGAGAGACTATAACAACCTAGTTGCAAGGTAGACTAGTAAACTAGGAGGAGATTAGGACCTTGCCTGCAAAGATAAGGAAGGGTGGGATAATACGCCCTGTTGCAGTAACGCCTTATACTAGGGTAACCTACTTACAATTGCTAGGCTGTAGTTTCTTCTGTTTCCTAGGTTTCTCTAAGCCTATAATAATAAGCTAAGAGGATATCTTGCCTATTATAAAGCTAGACTTATTAAAGTTCTAGGTGTCCTTATCTATAATACTATGCTTTGTCTTTATTTTTTAAACTGGGCTAAACCAGGGCTAGATAAGCGCTGGGTCTTCGCAGGCAGCTCACTAGCAATCGTACAGACGGCTCCATCGCGTGCGCAGCTCTGGTGTACGCTTGATGAAGTTATTAACCTAGTTCTTGCCTGTAGGCTTCCCACCACGCTCCCTCAGCAGTCTATCAGCTATATCTTGTACATGCGCCTTTAAGGGCGGTATTCCACGCAGACTCTCTTCAAGTATACGCTGTATAATCGCCTCCTCTTCCAGCTTTGTAAGGCGCTTTGATTTCGGCTCGCAGTCGCGTTAAGGGCGTTGTCTAGCGCGTCAGTCCTAGATTGTTGTTAGTGGGATGTTATAGACTGCTGCAGCGCGTCTTTCGCTCTGTATCTGCTTAGACTCAATATCAGAGATAGCAATAAATATATCTCCTTTAGTATAGGTCTTTTGCATGTTGCGTTGTTGTGGCATTACGCGTTGTTGCTGCGCAGGCGGGGCGCGGGTGTTTAGTGGGCGACTCACTTGGGTGGGCGACTCGCTTGTGAACCACGTTACTTATTATCTAGAATAGGTGTCCAACAATAGTTAGGCCTCTATTAAAGGTAGCAAGTTCTGTCTTTAGCACCTGTAGGTCTTGGTTTGTTGCAAGAGATGTAGGGATATTGTGTAGGATTACTTTCTGCTAGGGCTCTATAGGGAGGGCTTCCTTGTATGCAGTAATAGATTGCTAGATTACTTAATTTTTAAGTAGGTATTTTGCAGTAAAGGTAGGTGTAGTAGTAAGCACAATATTCTCTCTTAGGCTTAGCGTAGCAGAGGCAATAACAGGTGATTTTACTCTTTTCTCTGCAAAGGCTAAGTTAAAGGCGTTGCGTATTTCAAGAGGAGTAAAAGCTAGGGGTTCTTGTTCTTGTGTAAGAACTAGCTAGCGAGTACTAAGAGAGTTCTTTGTAGAACTAGTAGTCGGTTTACTCTTAGTAACTGTTTGCCACTCTCTTTCCTTAGGTAGGTTGCTTGCAGCTGCAGAGGCGTAGGAAGTAGGTAGAGAGGTGGTCTGTGTTCTTGTTGTTGTAGAAGAGCTAGGCTAGGTAGAAGAAGGAGCAGCAGTAGAAGAGAGTGGCTTTTGCAAAAGTCTAACTCTTGCTTTAATTATTTTTAATACTGCTTCTGGGTTTAAGACTTGAGAGGCTAGGATAGAGAGGCCTTGCCTATTTAGCCTGTTATTTTCTGTGTAGTCTCTAAAGATTTCTAAGAGGTCTAGGATGTTAGATTGTTCTTTGCTAGAGGTAGCAAGAGAGGAGGCTTAAATAACTATTGTTCTAGCAATAGCTAGTGCTTCTTCTACTGTCTTAGCAATAGGTGCCTAGGCAACAGGTCTAGTGGCAGCATTAAATTAGAAAGGTAGAAGTCTAGGCATAGGGGGGGTAGCAGGTCTGCTCGCAGGTCGTTTAGAAGAAGCAGTAGGCCTTGGCAAGGTAGAGCTTAGAGGTATGGCTGTAGGTGGAGGCAGAGGTGTCGATAAATGCTGAGGTAGAGGCATAGGAGTGGGTGTAGGTAGGTACAACTCTCCTAGAGGGTCAGGGGAGCTAGGAGTGCTAAGCTCCATTGTCTCCCTGTCTAGAGATTGCTCTCTACTAGCCAGAGGTTCTGGTTCTATTGTCCTAGGTCCTGGGTCCTAGGTGTAGGTATCCTTCTCTTTTATAAGGAAAAATTACAAAGTGACTAGAGGAGAGCTTATTTTTGCACAGGCAGAGGTACCTAAACTCTGTCTGCTTTTCAGAGCTGAAAAATAAGGTAAAAAGGCTGTCTTAGTTTTACTATTCTTGCCTTATACTCTATTCTTACTAGCCTAACAAGTAGACCTGTAGGAATAGAGAGTAAGTTTAGAAAGCAGAAAACTAAGCAAAGGCTTATTGCTGTCTGTTGTGTAGCTAGGCTGTTTTTTTTAGGATTTTAGTGTTCTTGTAGATAAGATCTTTGATAAGATAAGATTTCCTGATAAGGGTGGGTGGTCTGTGTAGTGAAAATTTGAAAATTTGAACAGGAGGGCGGCACTCTTGCACCAGGCAGCGCGAGGCAACCAGGCGCCTAGAGGCTCTAGGAGTTTCAGGGTAGTATATCCTAGTTGAGTTGAGATGGGCGCAGGCAAGAAGAGAGATATCTGGACAATTTGTGTTTTGGTGTTCCTTGCTACTATTAAGGAGATAGAGGCGCAATTAACGCTTGTTCGTGAGCGCATACAAAGGCACAGAGAATTACTAATCTCTCCTCTTCTACAGGCTGTTGAAGCGCTTGCAAAAGGCATAGCTATTATTAGTTAACCTATCCCACGGGCGAGCCGCTCACCGAGCGAGCCGCTCACTTTTGCCAAGTCCCCACCAAACCTCACCCTATTATGGCCCAAAACTCCACAAACTAGCGCTGCACAAGGCAAAACAAGCTGTAATATTACTTAGAGACTACTTCTACATTATTCTTGCACGTTCGCGCGTTATGTCTAGTCTTATTGCACCGTCCGCAGCGCCTTTAGGTTGGCTTAGCCACATCAGCGCGTACTCGCTTCTTTGCCTTCTTACCATCACCACGCGCCCTAAACTCTATTAGAGCTGTTAATCGCTAGCCCTCCTTAATTGTTAGGATACCTTCTGCCTTAACTTGCTTTCCTTTGTGTGACTTTTGTTTTGTGGCTGCCTTATTTGCTGCTCGAAGCTCAGCAATCTCCTGTTGCGCCAACACTAGCTTGTGCGCAATTATCGCCGCCCCCTTTGACACCTTCTCAAACGCTTCAACTATAGAGGTAGGCGAGCTATCTATATGCCCCTGAATCCTTGTCTTCACGAGCGTTAACTGCGACCTAAGTTTAAGGGTGTTGCTTAGGGTTTGCAACTGTTAGAGCTTGTTGTTAACGGGTAGTGGTGGTGATAGAGTGCGCAGCTTCATATTAAGGCTGCTTATAACCTATTCTAGGTTAAACAGGATTAGTCCAGCGCCTTAGAACCCTCCCTAGATGTTGCTAGGGGTAATTGCAGCGTTATAGGCGCGTATAAAGCATGGCAGGAACTCAGTCTTTGTGATGTGGTTAATCTAATTGCGCATGAGTATTTTAGCTTGGCGCCTATACGCCTTCTTTAAAGCGGTAAAACAACCCACATCAAGGGGCTGCGTGAGGTGTGATGAGTGAGGGGGCAAACAGAGAGTGATTATCTTGTTATCCTTGCAGTATTGCTGGAATTCAAGAGAGTTGTGGCTCTCATGACCATCAATAATGAGCAAACAGTGGCTGCCAACAGTACGCTGCTTTGTATGCCTGTTAAAGTGCTTTATCTAGTCTAGACCAAGCTTGTTAGTAGTCTAGCTGTTATTAGAGACCCTAATAACCTAGTCTTGAGGCAGTTCCTCTTCTTTGTACTAGGTAGAGAGGTGGTGGTAGGCCTTAAAGATAAGGAAGGCCAGAATGGCCCATCCTTTAGCATTAATGCTCACTATAGCTGTAGCCCACTCCAAGTTGCCTGGCTGGACTGCCTTTGGCCGACCTCGTCGTTCTGAAGCTGTAACAACTGCTTCTTGGGAGATCTAGCCCATCATGAAGCCTGTCTCGTTGAAGTTGGACATGTCTTTATCCTGGATGCCATACTTGGCTCTAACATTGGCTACCACGCTAAACCAGCCCTGTAGGACCTCAGGATCCTCCTGACCGCCTAGGCATCTTATTCACAGTAAGGACGCCTAGAACACAGCAACCTAACAAACCTGCTCCTAGGTTTAACAGAAAGAAAGCAAACTGGAACCTATTTAGCAAAGTGCTAGCAAAGGAGATAGCAAACAGCTCTGCTCTTAGCAACGCAAGCACTCTAAACTACTCTACAAGCAGATCTCTAGCACTTATCCAAGGAGAAGACCAGGACCTAGAAGAGCAGCTAGAAACACTGGGGATAGAGCTTACTACAGCTATAACTAAAGCAGCTAAGGCAGCAATTCCGCAATGTTCTACCACTGCAAAAAGCAAGCCCTGGTGGAATCAAGACCTAAAAGCACTTAGGACAAGCATGCTCAGCAAACAACGCCAACTACAGAGAGAACTTGCTTTTAGCCTAACAAGTGCCTACACCTGGAAAAGAGACTATCTAATAGCTAGAAATAGCTATCTACAAGCTGTCAAAATAGCTAAACGCGACCATTGGAACCAATTCCTAGAGAGAGAGGACCCTAAATTAATCTTCAAAGCTATGGCTTATACTAGAACTACTTATAGCCAGAACATACCTGCTATCCAAGGCCTAAGAGGAATAGAGGGATCTTTTCAAGGCAAATGCTTAGCTCTAAGAGAAACTCTCTTCCCTAGCCCTCCTGCCTCTAGGCCTATAGAGTGGGACAACTACCAACCAAGCAACTGGGAATGGCCTAATCTTACTAAAGAAGAGCTAGCATACGCTTGCTCAGCACACATCCAAAGCAGCTCTCCAGGGCCAGACGCTCTAACACAAGAGATTATTACTGCAGCATATAAAGCACAGACAGAAATAGTCTTCTTAGTTTTCTCTGCTCTGTTTAACTATAGATACTACCTACAGGAATAGAAGAAAGCAACAGGAATTATCCTAAAAAAGCTAAATAAGCCTAATTACGCTGCACCTAAACCCTATAGAGTAATTGCCTTGCTTAGCTGCCTAGGCAAGGTTGCAGAAAGAGTAGTAGCAAAACGCCTTAGAACTCTTGCAGAAACAACAGCTCTTCTTCACCACTCACAACTAGGAGGAAGAACACAAAAATCCGCAATAGACGCATCTATACCACTGCTAAACTAGGTCTAAGAGCAGAGAAAACTAAAACGCACAACCTCTACAGTATTCCTAGATATTAAAGGTGCCTTTGACCACATCGCTCTAAACTAGCTACTTGCTATACTACAACAGCTACAGCTACCTTGCAACTTAATAGCATAGGTTTAATTATTCCTATCTAAGCGCTAGCTAAGACTATCCTTTAACAGAGAAACAGAAGGCTTTAGCAGCATTACAGCAGGAATTCTATAAGGCAGCCCTGTCTTACTAATCCTGTTTCTAATATATATTAGACCTCTATTTCAATCTATTACAAACTACTCCCTATCCTACCTAGATAACCTAGTAATTACAGCATCTTCTACTAGCCTAAAGAAGAATGTCTGTATGCTAGAAAAAGACATAGCAAGCCTATTTAGTAAAGGAGCAAGCTGCGCTATACAATTTAAGGTAGCAAAGAAAAAGCTTATTCACTTTACAACAAGTAACAAAGCTATTAGCTCTACACTTACCCTGCCAGACAGGTCTACTATAGAGCCTAAAAAGACTGTAAAGTGGCTAGGAATCTACTTTGACAATGCACTCTCCTTTAAAGAACACGTAGCTACAAGGATTAGCCAAGCAAGAAACGCTTTCTACAGAATGTGCAGACTTGTAAACAGCAATAGAGGCCTCCCTCCTAGCGCTATAAGACAGCTATACTTAGCATGCGTTTCTAGCATCGCAGATTATGGTTGCCAGGTCTTCTGGAAACAACAAGCAGGAATAATAAAGCAACTCTAAGGACTGCAGAATCTTGCCCTAAGAAAAATCCTAGGAACCTTTAGGACCTCTCCTATAGCACTACAGGAGACAGAAGCAGCACTCCCTCCCCCTGCTATAAGACTAAATACTGCTCTAAGAAAGTATGCCTTTAGAGCTAGAAAGCTACCTAAAGATCACCCAGTTTACATTGTAATTAAGACTCTAAAAGCTACTCTACAGGTACAAAGAGAAGACTTAGAGTCTAGCACAGAATAAGAGGAAGAAGCTGCTCTCTTAAGGCTAAGAACAGGCCCACCTACTCAGCTTATGCATATTGTACAATTAATACAAAACGCTACTCCTAGCACAGAAGAAGAAAAACTGCAGGACTACTATTTCTGCCCTTAGAACAGGACTATATTATACACAGCAGAGATCTCTAAACTCTCTAAAGAAGAAGAAGCAGAACAACACAAAACGCAAATGCTACAGAGACTAGGGGACAACCTACTTGCTATCTACACAGACGCCTCTTCTATTAAGAAAGGCATAGGAATAGGAATAGGAGTTACTACTCTAGACTACAAACAGCAGGCTAAGGAGATCTACTCTACTAAATATAATATTAGCAAAGGCTAGATTGTATACAATGGAGAGCTAGAAGGCATAACAAGAGCCATTAAGTTTGCAGCTCCTATAGCTACAGCAGGACAAGAGATCCAAGTCTTTGCAGATAACTAGGCAGCTATTCTAAGGCTAAAGACTCCTTCTAATAACCCTAGACAAGCTTAGCAAATCTGCTGTACAAAGGCAGCAAAGGCAATTCACAGCAAAGGCGCAATTATTAGCCTACACTAGACCCCAGGACACCTGGATATCACAGGAAACAAAAAAGCAGACTCCTTAGCAAAACAAGCTACAAAATAGCAACTAGTATCTAATACTACAAGCCTTGCAATGACAGGTATTAGGATTAAAGCTATTGCAAGACAAGAGTAGCAACATAAACTCCAGGCCTACTCTATAAAAGCAAAGCTTAGAAATCCTAGCACCTACGCAGCAAGATTCCTGCTAAAGCTAACAAGCAAGATAACACTACTAAAAAACACTAGAAGAGAAATTGCAAGCGCATACTACCAGCTAAAGCTTGGACATGAATACAACAAAGCATATCTATACAATATAACGTAATCGGCCATTGAGTCGGCCAGGCAATTGAGCCGGCCACCTTATGCAGCCACCCACCTTGACACGTAGATAACTCAACACCACAACGTCGTGCTGTGGCTCACAGTACGTCAAATTAATCTACTCTGTCTACAGTATCTTGCTTACATGTGCGCTTATTGTGCCCAGCCTGACCACACCTCCCACAGCGTCAAGAACCCTCTCTACTACCACCTGTTCGCACCCTCTCCTCACGCCTCTCTGCCTCTGCCTGCACCACCACCTCTTGTGCAGCTATTATTTCCTCTGCCTCTTGCTATAATAGGGTTCCTCTATACTAGATCTACTTCCTTTTACGTGCTTTACGCTTAGAAGTAGCTTTATTTGCTACTTAAAGCTTAACTATCTTAGCTGCTATAAGCACCTAGGAATGCACCATTATATTAGCTCCCTTTTTAAACTACTGCACTATCTTAATAATTAAAGCTAGAGATAAACTGTAGTGCTGCCTAATCTAGTTAGATATTAGCGTTAATTAAGCTAATATTTCAGCAGTGTTGCTTAGTGTTCTAGGTTGCTAGGTAGTAGGCCCTAGTAAAGGTAGTGTTAGTGTATAAGGCTTTACTTTAAGCTTTAATAGTACTACCTCTAGGTTGTCTAGAACTAAGCCTATTACTTAGAAGCTTAATTAGATATTATTAGATAAAAACACCTTATTAAACACCTAATTAAAGGTAGCTAAGAATACTTTATTATTAATATAAGTAATATAGCTATTTACTAAGATATTAATTTCTGTCTTATATGCTTGTTTTAATAGGGCAAAACAGCCTACATTAAGTGGCTGTAGGATATAGGAGGTGTGAGGAGGCATACAGAGAGTAATAATTTTGTTCTCCTTACACAGATCCTGGAAGGCAAGCGACTTGTGGCTCTCATGGCCATCAATAATCAGCAGCCGGTGGCTACCCACTGTCCAGGCTGTTGTATGCTGGATGAAGTGCTTCAGCCACTCTAGGCCTAGTTTATTTGTTGTCTAGCTATTCTTGCTAACACTAATATACTAATCCTTTAGGTTATAATACTAGGCTTAGTTATAGTTCTTTGCTTTAAAGATAATAAAGGGTAGGATAACCTACCCTATAGTATTAATTGTAGCAATTAATATTACCTATTTATAGTTACTAGGCTAGACTCTAAGTAGCTTAAGACACCTCTTAGACACTGTTACTACCTTAACAGACCCTCTAACACCTATCTAGAAGCTAGTCTTATTAAAGTTATAGGTATCTTAGTCCTAGATGCTATATTTAGCTTTGATGTTGCGCACAAGGTTAAACTAGGGGCTGATAATAGCTAGATTACTGCACAAGACTCTCTAGTGATCGCACTGTCTAGTTACCTAAAACTTAATCTTAGGCTTCTAGTTCACAAGGTGCCTAGCCTATTTTTCTCTAACCTTACTACTACTATAGGTAGCTAGCAGTTAATTGGCTATTTCACGTACGTAGCTTAGCATAGGGGCAAAGCCTTGTGCGTCAAGCTTCCTTATGTATTGTATAACTACCTCCTCTTCAGGCTTAGTAAGCCTTAATCTGCTGTAGTAGGAATTGCGTTATAAGGTAGTTTTAGCGCGTTAGTATTAGAGGGTTGATTAAGGAACGTTATAGATAGTAGCAGCGCGCTGTTAGCTTATTAACGCGTTAGATTTTATAGCTTAGATAGCAAGGGTTATCCTATCCTTATAAGGAAGTAATCTAAGATCAGGTTGTTGAGACATTAGATAAGAGGTGGAATAAGGTGTGATCTTGGCAAAGGTGGCCGGCTCAATTGCCTGGCCGACTCAATGGCCGATTACGTTAGTATAATATATATAGACAATAATAGTGCTAGCCAGCTAGCTTTGCCTCTAGCTGCTTAGAGCGCTATGCCACGTGTCGTGTTCGTGCATAGTCGTTACACTAACAATGCGCGCCTTTGTGTGCTTATTAAAGTGCTTTAACTACTTAACTCTAAGCTTGTTGTTAGTCTAGCTGTTGTTAGAGACATTAAGAACCTAGTTATTAGGTATACTAGGCTCCTTGTACTAGGCAGAGAGGTAGTGCTTGCTAGAGAAGATAATAAAGGGTGGGATAGACTAGCCCTTCGCGCAGATGCCTTAGATAATACTAGTCTACTCTTAGTTGCCCTACTGCACTACCTTTAGTCTCCCTTAACGCTTAGAGCCTGTAACAACAGCTCCTGTTAATATAATGCCTATTATAAAGCTAGACTTATTAAAGTTGTAGGTGTTATTATCTTGTATACTATACTTAGCTTTAGTATTCTCTACTAGTTAGAACTAGTCCCTAATTACCTTAGGATCCTTACACAGAGCTCTCTTATAGTTGTGCTTGCAATTAAATTTAACTTTAAGCTCTAGCTAACATTTTACAAAGTTAGCAGCCTAGTTCTTGCCAACGTAGGGCTAGTGGCGCTTAGCAAGCAGAGAATTGGCCATATCCTCTACATCAGTAAGCTGGGGTGGGTATCCTTGCTTGTCTAGCTTCAATACATGCTGGACAATCACCTCCTCCTTAGTACTAGTCATTATTATCATGTTGGGCTTGCAATCGCGTTGTGAAGAGGTTCTAGTAAGGCGCGTGCCTATAGTGCTTTAAGAGACCTAGTATATTGCTGCAGCACGTTACTACACGCCCTAAACTCTGTTAGAGCTGTTAATTGCTAGCCCTCCTTTACTATTAGGGTCTCTTCTACCTAAACTTGCTTTCTTTTATATAATTTCTATTATGTAGCTGCCTTATTTGCTGCTTGAAGCTTGGCAATCTCCTGTTGCGCCAAAACTAGCTTGTGCGTGACTATTGCTGCACCCTTGATGTAATGCTTAAGCGCGCTTGTTGTGGAATTTAGTGAGCTACCCTAGTATTTCTTGAACTTGTCTTGAATTAGAGTAGATTGTGAGTTAAATTCTAGGGTTTTGCTTAGGGTTTGTAACTGCTAGGGCTTGTTGTTAACAGGTAGTGGTGGTAATAGTGTGCGCAGCTTCACATTAAGGCTGCTTATAACCTGTTATAGGTTAAATAGGACTAGTCTAGCGCCTTAGAACCCTCCCTAAATATTACTAGAAATAATTGCAGCATTATAGGCGCGTATAAAGCATGGTAGGAACTCTGTCTTTATAATGTGGTTAATCTAGTTACGCATAAGTATTTTAGCTTAGCGCCTATACACCTTCTTTAAAGTAGTAAAATAAGCTATATTAAGAGGCTGTGTAAGATGTAATAAGTAGGGAGGCAAATAGACAGTAATTATCTTGTTATCCTTGCAGTACTACTAGAATTTAAGAGAGTTATAGCTCTTATAACTATTAATAATAAGTAAATAGTAGGTGCTAACAGTACGCTCCTTTGTATGCCTGTTAAAGTGGTTTATCTAGTCTAGACTAAGCTTATTAGTAGTCTAGCTGTTATTAGAGACTCTAATAACCTAGTCTTAAGGCAGATCCTCTTCTTTGTACTAGGCAGAGAGGTAGTGGTAGGCCTTAAAGATAAGGAAGGCAGGAATAGCCTATCCTTTAGCATTAATGCCTACTATAGCTGTAGCCTACTCCTAGTTGCCTAGCTGGACTGCCTTTGGCTAACCTTGTTGTTCTGAAGCTGTAACAACTGCTCCTTAGGAGATCTAGCCTATTATAAAGCCTGTCTTGTTAAAGTTGTACGTGTCTTTATCCTAGATGCTATACTTAGCTTTAGTGTTAGCTACTAGGCTAAACTAGCCCTGCAGAACCTCAGGATCTTCACAGAGGGCTCTCTTGTAGTTATACTTGCGATTAAACTTAACTTTAAGCTCTAGGTGTTGCTTAACAAACGTACTGGGCTAGTTTGTGCTAACAGGGCCTAGATTACGCTTAGCGCGCAAGGAATTAGCTATAGTAGCCACATCTAAGAGCTAAGGGGAAAATCCTTGCGCATCTAGCTTAAAAATATATTTAACAATCACCTTCTCCTTATTGTTGTCCAGCTTCTGTAAGTTAGCTGTAATATCAGCGCGTGAAGGTTGTCCTGCGTGTTGTCTACTTAGTGTAGCTTAAGGAACCCTGTAGATAGTAGCAGCGCGTTGCAGGGATAGAGTCGCGTCTTGTTAAAGAGCTTGAAGCGCAAGCTGTATCTGAGCTTCGTTTGACACGTCTAAATAGTGGTGTTGAGAAGGCATTAGTATGTAAAGGGTGGTTTGGTGGGGGCTTGGCAAAAGTGTTCCACTCGCTCGGTGTTCCACTCGCCCGTGAGGTACGTTATGTGTTTCATTTAACGTACTCCACAAGCATGCCGGTCACCCAAGTGTACCGGTCACTTTTGCCAAGACCACACCAAACTTCACTCTACTAACAATGCCTTAACGCAGCAACATGAAAAAGCTCTCTAATGAAGCAGACATACAGCTTGCTCTCCAGGCTATCCAACAAGACGCGACGCTCTCTCAGCGACGCGCTGCAGCAATCTACAACGTCTCTCAAAGCACGCTTAGTGACCGACTTGCTAGAGCCACCCCACGCTGCAACTACACACCTAATACTATAAATCTTACAAAGAATAAAGAGGAGGTAATTGTCCAGCACGTGTTGAGGCTAGATGAGCGAGGATACTCGCCCTGGCTTGCTGATGTAGAGGATATGGCCAATTCTCTGCTTGCTGAGCGCCACCAGCCCTATGTTGGCAAGAACTAGGCTGCCAACTTTTTTAAACGTCAGCTAGAGCTTAAAGTTAAATTTAATTGTAAGTACAACTATAATAGAGCTCTGTGTAAGGATCCTAAGGTGATTAGGGACGAGTAGGCTGGCGGATGGGTAGGGTAGGGTAGGGTATAGGTATAGTCACGTGATTTGTGGGTAGGAACTAGGTAGGGTATATGAGGTACCCTACCCAAACGGTTTGGGTAGGGTAGCACGTGACTGGGTATAGGTATAGGTAGGGTAGCACGTGACTAGGTATAGGTATAGGTAGGGTAGCTAGGTAGGGTCTAGGAATGGGTAGTTATTAGCAAAATCTAGGTTACTACTCTAGACTTT